GCCTCCCCCCACGCGGGGGGCGGGGAGCGAGCGGCGCCGGCACCGCTCCCCCAGCTGAGCCCGCGGGGCAGGGCAGGCGAAGGAAGAGGAGGAGGAAGAGAAGGAGGAGGAGGACTACATTTCCCGCCGGCCCCGAGAGGGCCGGGGCGGGTACAAAGCGGGCGCTACCTGTCCCGGCAGGTGAGCGCCAACAGGTGAGCGGGCGGCTGGTCGGGACAGGGGCTCCTTCCCCGGGCCCTCGGCTGCCGGGACCTGTCACCTGTCCCGGCAGGTGAGCGGTGAGCGGGCGCCTGTTCGGGACCGGGGCTCCTTCCCCGGGCCCCCGGCTGGCGACCCGGGTGGGCCAGGGCGGCGGCTCCCCCTCACTGCCGCGCTCCCCCGCCGCAGGCCCGCCCGGGAGCCGCGATGCCTTTCTCCAGCTCCGGCGCGGACGATGCCTTCGACTACCTCTTCAAGATCATCCTGATCGGGGACTCCAACGTGGGGAAGACCTGCGTGGTGCACCGCTTCAAGACGGGGCAGTACAACGAGAAGCAGCAGAACACCATCGGCGTCGACTTCACTGTGCGCTCGATGGACATCGACGGCAAGAAAGTGAAGGTCAGTGGCCGGAGTGAGCCCGAGCTGCTCAGTGGGCAGCACCTGCTTCCCCGTTACCGTGCCGGCGCGGGGGACGCACAGCGCCTCCTGCTCGGCCCTGCTGAAGGCAGCAGGCAGAAGCCGGGGGTATTACCGAGGGGAGCTCAGCAGGGTGCCCTGGGGGACGCAGTCACCCTAACCTGGGTGCGTGCTTGCCCTCGGGGCTTCTCTGGATCTATCCGTGGAGAGGGCTCACGCTTCGCCTGTAGGGAGTTCTTCGAAAGCCGGCTCTAGTTTGGAGGGGAGGTCTCTTTCCTCATTCAGAGATGTGGGGGTTTGAGCTGAGATGCGGAGGAGGGAAACCCTCTCGTTTGCAAAGGCTCCGCTTTGATGCATGCTTGATCTGAGGGAAGATGAAGACTTGCAAGATGAACACCGGAAGAAATTGTTAGCTAGAACTTGCC